TTCTTCTTCTTCTTCTTCTTCTTCTTCTTCTTCTTCTTCTTCTTCTTCTTTATCTTCTTCTTCTTCTTCTTCAAATTCTTCAAATTCTTCAAATTCTTCTTCTTCTTCAAATTCTTCTTCTTCTTCCTCTTCTTCTTCCTCTTCTTCTTCAAGTTCTTCTTCTTCTTCTTCTTCTTCTTCTTCTTTGTCTTCCTCCTCCTCCTCCTACCACCATCCACCCGCGCGTTTTGTTTTTTGTTTAATTCGAAAAATAGTCGGACAATGGGCATACACTTCTTCTTCTTCTTCTTCTTTTTCTTCTTTTTCTTCTTCTTTTTCTTCTTCTTCTTCTTCTTCTTCCACTTAGCCGTTTGGTTGAGTGTTTGCCTCTTGACGCGGAGGTCACGCATTCAATCCTTGGATCGGTGCGGACGGACAAATTGCTGTCTGGAGTAAGTTTCACTTCTTACCTGCGTGGCAGCCAGCAGTGAGGTCGTACACTGTATGGTGGCTACGTCTACACACCCTGGTTGGGTGCGCGTGTGTACCGTGCTGGGGTGGGGTTAAGTACTCATTGTGGGGCTTAACTTTCACCCCAGTCCACTTAGCCGTTTGGTTAAGTGTTTGCCTCTTGACATGGAGGTCACGTGTTCAATCCTTGGATGGGTGCGGATGGACAAATTGTTGTCTGAAGTTAGTTTCACTTCTTACCAGCGTGGCAACAACAGTGAGGTCGTACAGTGCATGGTGGCTACGTCTACACACCCTGGTTGGGTGTGCGTGTGTGACTGGGTACACCAGGTCGCGGGGAAAAACGAGTACCCGTGTTGGGGTGGGGTTAAGTACTCATCTTGGGGCTTAACTTTCACCCCAGTCCACTTAGCCGTTTGGTTGAGTGTTTGCCGCTTGACGTGGAGGTCACGTGTTCGATCCTTGGATCAGTGCGGACGAACAGATTGCTGTCAGGAGTAAGTTCCACTTCTTACCTGCGTGGCAACCAGCAGTGAGGTCGTACACTATATCGTGGCTACGTCTACACACCCTGTTTGGGTGCGCGTGTGTGACTGGCTACACCCGGTCGTGGGAAAAACGAGTACCCATACTGGGGTGGGGTTAAGTACTTATCTTGGGGCTTAACTTTCACCACAGTCCACTTAGCCGTTTGGTTGAGTGTTTGCCTCTTGACGCGGACGTCACATGTTCGATCCTTGGATCGGTGCGGACGGACAAATTGCTGTCTGGAGTAAGTTTCACTTCTTACCTGCGTGGCAACCAGCTGTGAGGTCGTACACTGTATGGTGGCTACGTCTACACACCCTGGTTGGGTGCGCGTGTGTGACTGGGTACACCGGGTCGCGGGGAAAAACTAGTACTAGTGTTGGGGTGGGGTTGAGTACTCATCTTGGGGTGCGGACGGACAGATGCTGTCTGGAGTAAGTTTCACTTCTTACCTGCGTGGCAACCAGCAGTGAGGTCGTTTACTGTATGGTGGCTACATCTACAAACCCTGGTTGGGTGCGCGTGTGTGACTGGGTACACCAATTCACGGGGAAAAACGAGTACCCGTGCTGGGGTGCGGTTAAGTACTCATCGTGGGGCTTAACTTTCACCCCACTCCACTTAGCCATTTGGTTGAGTGTTTGCCTCTTGACGTGCAGGTCACGTGTTCGATCCTTGGATCGGTGCGGACGGACAAATTGTTGTCTGAAGTTAGTTTCACTTCTTACCTGCGTGGCAACAACAGTGAGGTCGTATAGTGTATGGTGGCTACGTCTACACGACCTGGTTGGGTGCGCGTGTGTGACTGGGTACACCGGGTCGCGGGGAAAAACGAGTACCCGTGCTGGGGTGGGGTTAAGTACTGATCTTGGGGCTTAACTTTCACCCCAGTCCACTTAGCCGTTTGGTTGAGTGTTTGCCTCTTGACGTGGAGGTCACGTGTTTGATCCTTGGATCGGTGCAGACGGACAAATTGCTGTCTGGAGTAAGTTTCACTTCTTACCTCCATGGCAACCAGCAGTGAGGTCGTACACTGTATGGTGGCTACGTCTACACACTAGGTTGGGTGCGCGTGGGTGACTGGGTACACCGGGTCGCGGGGAAAAACGAGTACCCGTGCTGGGGTGGGGTTAAGTACTTATCTTGGGGCTTAACTTTCACCCCTGTCTAGTTAGCCGTTTGGTTGAGTGTTTGCCTCTTGACGTGGAGGTCACGTGTTCGATCCTTGGATCAGTGTGGACGGACAGATTGCTGTCTTGAGTAAGTTTCACTTCTTACCTGCGTGGCAACCAGCAGTGAGGTCGTACACTGTATGGTGGCTACATTTACACACCGTGGTTGGGTGCCCATGTGTGGCTGGGTACACCGGGTGGCGGGGAAAAACGAGTATCTGTGCGAGGGTGGGGTTAAGTACTCATCTTCGGGCTTAACTTTCACCCAGTCCACTTAGCCGTTTGGTTGAGTGTTTTCCTCTTGACGTGGACGTCACGTGTTCGATCCTTGGATCATTGCGAACAGACAAATTGCTGTCCGGAGTGAGTTTCGTTTCTTACCTGCGTGGGAACCAGCAGTGAGGTCGTACACTGTGTGGTGGCTATGTCTACACACCCTGGTTGGGTGCGCATGTGTGACTGGGTACACCGGGTCGCGAGGAAAAACGAGTACCCATGCTGGGGTGCAGTGAAGTCCTCATCTTGGGGCTTAACTTTCACCCCAGTCCACTTAGCCGTTTGGTTGAGTGTTTGCCTCTTGACGTGGAGGTCACGTGTTCGATCCTTGGATCGGTGGGGACGGACAGATTGTTGTCCGGAGTAAGTATCACTTCTTAACTGCGTGGCAACCAGCAGTGAGGTCGTACACTGTATGGTGGCTACGTCTACACACCATGGTTGGATGCGCGTGTTTGACTGGGCACACCGGGTCGCGGGGAAAAACGAGTACCCGTGCTGGGGTGCGGTTAAGTACTCATCTTGGGGCTTAACTTTCACCCCAGTCCACTTAGCCGTTTGGTTGAGTGTTTGCCTCTTGACGTGGATCCTTGGATCGGTGCAGACGGACAGATTGCTGCCTGGAGTAAGTATCACTTCTTACGTGCGTGGCAACCAGCTGTGAGATCGTACACTGTATGGTGGCTACGTCTACACACCCTGGTTGGGTGTGCGTGTGTGACTGGGTACACCGAGTCGCGAGGAAAAACGAGTACCCGTGCTGGGGTGCGGTTAAGTACTCATCTTGGGGCTTAACTTTCACCCCAGTCCACTTAGCCGTTTGGTTTCAGTGTTTGCCTCTTGACGTGGAGGTCACGTGTTTGATCCTTGGATCGGTGCGGACACACAAATTGCTGGCTGGAGTAAGTTTCACTTCTTACCTGTGTGGCAACCAGCAGTGAGGTCGTACACTATATGGTGGCTACGTCTACACACCCTGGTTGGGTGTGCGTGTGTGACTGGGTACACCGGGTCGCGGGGAAAAACGAGTACCCGTGCTGGGGTGGGGTTAAGTACTCAGCTTGGGGCTTAACTTTCACCCTAGTCCACTTAGCCGTTTGGTTGAGTGTTTGCCTCTTGACGTGGAGGTCACGTGTTCGATCCTTGGATCGGTGCGGACGGACAGATTGTTGTCTGGAGTAAGTTTCACTTCTTACCTGTGTGGCAACCAGCAGTGAGGTCGTACACTGTATGGTGGCTACGTCTACACACCCTGGTTGGGTGCGCGTGTGTGACTGGGTACACCGGGTCGCGGGGAAAAACGAGTACCCGTGCTAGGGTGGGGTTAAGTACTCATCTTNTGGTTGGGTGCGCGTGTGTGACTGGGTACACCGGGTCGCGGGGAAAAACGAGTACCCGTGCTAGGGTGGGGTTAAGTACTCATCTTGGGGCTTAAATTTCACCCCAGTCCACTTAGCCGTTTGGTTCAGTGTTCGCCTCTTGATGTGGAGGTCACGTGTTCGATCCTTGGATCAGTGTGGACGGACAGATTGCTGTCTGGAGTAAGTTTCACTTCACTTCTTCTTCTTCTTCTTCTTCTTCTTCTTCTTCTTCTTCTTCTTCTTCTTCTTCTTCTTCTTCCTCGTCCTCCTCCTGCTACCACCACCCACCCCTGGAACAAGAAGTTGTTGCGCATGTAAAGGGCGGAGATTGGATTCGTCAACACTGAGCGGCTCAAGTGGGAGACACCATAGGACAAGGCGCCTTTCGATGGTTTCATGCGAGACGGGGAGTATGACCCCGTTGAGGTGAAGAGGAGGGCCGCTAATTGGTCCAAATCTCGTGGCTGCAGATCGAAGGGCACCAAATTCGATGTTCCCGAACTTCCGGAGCAGAGGGTGGATGACAGGGCATGGCTCCTTGATGTTTCCTACCCCTCACGCTGCGTTGTGGACGACGAGCACGATAGCAAGGGCGACGATGAGTTACTTGATGCGCGGCTCACAGACATTCGGTCCATCAGGCGCTCGGGCGGTGGCTCATCTTCCGCTAGACACAACGACATCAGGTCGTTGGCGGTCCTTACATCCGGGGGACATTCGGGGCTCCTTCAATGACGTTGCTGGACGACGTCGGTGTGTGTACACGACGATGGAGCTCTGCGTCAGGTGGTGTGGCTTCAGTACAGGGCACTGGCACATTTCGGGCGCACAACTCACCCCTCACCGACGAGCTGTGCTTGAGCAGATACCCATGGGCCACAGGACGACGGACGGGGGTTCGGCGGACATTCGCGGGGACAATGTTGTGGTGGAGGTTGATCCAGATTTTGGTGGCACTGCAGAACATGCAAATAGAGACATCGGTGCGGACATGGACGACCTGCCTCCTAGAACAGCGGAGGTCACCAATGCTGCGGGCGGCGATGTGCTCTCCACTTCTAACCCGGGGTTGGGGATGGGGGAGGGGTTCACCGCCCTTTTGCACCACGTGGCCCCCATTGCGCCGAGCGGCTCCAAGAAGGACTTCTGTGAACACCTGTCTGTGATGTCTCCAATGCGGATTGATTTTGAGGAGCAGACTCCTTATTGGGCCAGATTCACTAGACCAACCCCACCCGGTCTACAACTGAGCGAGGACATTTGAACTGAGGTTGGGGAAGGATCACAAGGCATAGTCCACAGGAGGAGGACCGCAGCTGCTGAGGTTGGAGGGCCTGACCCACCACAACATGCAGCTGCACGACGTGCGTCAACGTCGCCACCCGAAATCGATGCCAGCAAGGTGCGCCAAGTGAGGAGTTTGGCGGGCAGAAAGAAAGGAGAGAAGGACAAGCCGAAAGAGACAGCGGCACCGTCGACTTGAGGTGGAAGAGGCGAGGGACGCAAGACAGTCACACCGCCAGTGACCTTGGAAGATAAGCATGCTGTTGTTCGGCAAGCGAAGAAGAGGAAGGCGCGAAGAATTCAAAAGAAAGTCACCGCAGTTTCACAGTCTCCGAAAATATATCCGAAAAGGACGAATTATGCTGCTCAAGCTACTGCTGAGAATGTAGCGCGTGCTGCGAGTGCAAGAGGACGATGAGTCTAGCAGCAGCAGCGCTTCATCTTCCGTAGAGGAACACGAAAAGTCGGCAAGTTCATCGACAGATCCGTCGTCATCGACCGACGCCAGTAGCAGCAGCGAGAGAGAGAGAGAGAGAGAGAGAGAGAGAGAGAGAGAGAGAGAGAGAGAGAGAGAGAGAGAGA